TACCGGAAAATAATGCGGTATCGCCCACGCATTTTGAATGGCTGCATCTGTAAACAGTACCATTCATTAAATTGTGTGTAATTTTATAACCCTCTTGCTCAGGATCATTATTAATGTTGTAAATCATGTTTACAAGATTATTCTAAATACATTTAGAAAACGGGAGACAGTGGGAGTAATTTTAATTTATAATTTAGCAACAGAAATACTTCTGTGTGGTACAGTAGGTTTCCTTTTTTAATTTTTTTTCTCTCTTTGAGGTCACATCCACTGCTAAAGCAACAACAATAAAAATGCCTTTAACCAAACTTACAGTGTGAGTCAACACTCACTCCCACTTTCAACCACTATTAACTTGGCAGAACCTGGTATATAACCCCAGAAATTTAAGTGCACATTCTCGCCACAACACACAGAAAAATCAGGCATTGGGACACTCATGTTTCTGCACTCCGCTTCTTTGTAAGGGTTTTCTTACAAAATCAATCTGTACCAATCAATTTGTTCCAAAGTAGCCAGTTATATAAATGTCTAGACTACTTTCACCCGCACACATTGGATATTATGATGTTACTTTTATCTGTGGGTAATCAGTGATTTTTAAATGGTTACATTCCAACTCTTATTGTTTAATATGGATGAGGTTTCTTTCAAAACACCAGCAAACGTCAAAGTGGATGGGGAAAGTAAATAAACAGATTTAACTCTGTTGTAAAAAACTTAAGGTATTATACAATAATGAAGCAAAGGTTAAATATGTCATAAGATGGTCTTATACGAGAAATAAAACAAATCTATTTTTGGCGAGATCAAGCCATTTATAAGAGCACATCTTTTCATAATTTCCTTCCAAGATGTCACGATAAATTGTGTTTCAATGATACGTGGAGTATTTCGTTGAGATTAAAACGCTTTTTAAAAAGGTTTTTAAAAAACAGCCGACAGATTTTTCTAAATAAGAACTATTCATTAAAGTATTCAGCACATAGCTCTTTTTGTAGCATGCTGTATCATATGACATTTGAATTCCAATTGTACAGTCAGACTTTGTAAAACACAACAGATTACAAGTGTTAGGTGGATAGGTTTATAATGAAAATGGAGCTACTCACAGTCTTTTTTTATCCACTGCCCGCTTAACCCTGATGGCCCGTTGCTCCGAGTACAGCTTGCACACACCTGGAAAGAAGTTAGTTCAAGTAAACTGTAAATCCGCACCTGTAAGTCTATTCAAATGCAGATGCTTATCTCCTGCTTTTAGACAAAAATGTAATCTTAGGTCTTGAGAATGCACATAAAAAGACAATTTTGTCAATAATAACATATCAGATGTGACCTAAACAACCACACTCTTTATTACTGCGATAAGAAATTTAAGTGTCATAAACAGGTCAAAACTGAAACAAAGCAATCAGTTATGAAATCATGTTATGTCAGCTGCTGAATAATCTGTTTACAGTTTATCAAGACATACTTCTTGTGACATATAAGAGACAATGTTCATGAAAATAAGCTATAAACGATATTTACCTTTCAGATAATCTTCGATCAGGTCCAGAACTGCTCCTCTGTGTTCTTTTACTTGAGCAGACATAACTTTTTTATCAGCTGAATCAAAAGCATACATAAAATAAAACACAAACATTAAAATGACATTTATACAAAATGTGGTTTGCAATTTTGATTGTAACTTCACAGCATGTAGTGGAAAATAAAAATAAGTGACAATAGCCAATATCCATAGAATTGTTTAATAACAAATATCCCACAGGCTACCAGCCGGGTTTACTAGTGAAGACAGACTTGCAGTACTGGCTGAGCCCTGTAGTCATGAAAACACTGGTTCAGAGGTGGACTATGCATACAGCTGATTGTGAAGTGGAGGCAGAGCACTGCAGCAGTTTTATGCCATATCCTTGGGTACCTGTGATTAGATCAGGGCTTTCATGGCAATATACTGAATGTGACCAGGAATGTAAATTAAGGAATTTACAGTTTATTCAATTTAAAAAGAATTCAGCTGATTCATAGATCATGGATCAATTGTAAAAAAGGAAGAGTATAACCTATGCAATGGTTTATTACAAATTTGCCCAATCTGCGTAGGACAAGCAAGACATTAAATGGATATCTATTAAGGCAGGTTGCTAAACCTTCAATCAATAGCAAACTTGTTACTGTTAAAAGCAATGACACCCAAATATTTATGTAAACAACGTGGAAACTCACGTTCTTCAAATTGCTTTGCATAAAAGAGAGACTTGCAAGAATACCTTCTGTTCTCAGCTGGTTAATGGCGTCTGAGCACGTTCTCATGAATATTTGAGCGTCCTGGTCAATCTGATCCCGCTCATTATCTGTCATTCGAGTATAATCAGAAGAGATCAGGCTGAAATAGACAAAAGGAAAATCACAAGGCTTCATTTTAAGCAAAATTAGATATGACTGAGTTCAACATCATAAAAACGCCATCTTCTGTAAAGAAGTGGTGTGGATTGTTGGAATTGAAGGACTCGTATTACTTTTTGTTTGCAATTTCTCTTTTCCGTCCTGAGGGCACAGAAGTGTTGTCAGCAACACAAATGCTTATTTCAAATTTCCTCACTGAAATATAATTCACAACCTCCTAGGAAGATCAAGGTATTTGGTGGAGTACTATTGGTTCATTGGGTTCAGTCTGGGCAATGTTGCAACACAAATTTGACCAGGATTAACCGAAATGGACATAACCCACTTTATTGACTGCAGTGAGGTTAGGGCAGTTGGCTAGGCTCTCAGCAATACAGAGATCCTTGTGCCCTCATGGATGCTTGCAGGCTTGCAGAGTTGCCAGTAATGAACACCCCTCTCCCCCAATCAGTGCTCTATTTTCAGTACAGTGCTGTGCCTCAAATGGGGGCAGGGTGGGGGAGTCCGTCTACACTTCCTCATTTTCCTCTGCGAGAGGTGCCTGGTTCATAGCTGTTTGCCCAGACATGAAAAATGCATGATTTGGCTGTTCCAAATGTGGTGGGAAGAACTAAAATAATTGCCTAATATAGAGTAGAAGCTCCTGCTGCAGAACAGCTGAGAAAGGTAAAGCTTTCAGAAACCTTGACAGACAATATTTACAATTATTGGAGAAACAGGAAGGAGACTTGGAGACCGCTTCAAAGAACACGTCAGGGCTGTGAAGATTAAAGATCTCTCCAAGCCCATTGTTTCTCATTTCACCTCTGACGGCCACGACCACTCTAATCTCTCCGTCTGTGTTCTCAAAGACGGTTTTCCGAACTCATACATCAGAAAGACCACCGAAACTAAAATTATTCTGCAGCTAGGATCACACATTCTCCCTTCCCTTAACGACAAACTACTGTTCTTTTAAATTTTCTCCAATCATTGGAAGTTTCATTTCACACCTCTCTGCACCCATTCTGACTTCACACCTCTTGATTGGCCTCTCTTTCTGTCCCCTGCTCCCGCCTCTCACTCCTCCTCCCTCCCAACCTTTGTTCTCCCGCTACTTTACCTTTGCCTACTGCCCTGTCTCTCTCACACCTGAAGAAGGCTCCACGGCCGAAACATTGTGTTCTCTTTCTTCTTTTTGTCAGCATGGAATAAACCTATTACTTGTTCCTTTGCAGCCTACGCATGCTGACGCAGCTACCCACCTGAACTACTAAAGACAATATTTACACTTTCTAATATCAAACATAACACTGCCTGAATTTTTTTGGGTGTGAATTCAGTACTTTTTATGACGCATACTACAGGTCATACAACAGGATTTACTATTCAACAACAGCAGTTTCAACAAGGGATCATACAGCAATCATGCGGCCATGGACAAATAGAAGAAATCACTTTACAACAACACTCAATGTATTTAAAATGTACAAGTACTGTATTTTCTCTGTAACAGAACCAGGTTTAATAGCAAATCCAAACCCACATTTTTCACTGTATAAAAGATACTTTAAAATGAAATCTAAGGTCATTGCACCCCTTTAGCAGATCACTCTGCTGTTAGCAAATTTATTTTTGAGTTAATAAGCAGAAGGTAAATCAGAATAATGCATACATATATGTTTAAGGTCATGGAACTTTAAGATCAAATGCTAAAATATGTTTCTGTTGTAAAAATGACATGGCTAAGATATAATACATGGATGGAACCTTTTAAAAATGTGAGTTTAAGATATTAGAAATCAAAATACATTCTAAACCTAAATACATCTACTGTATACGTGGGATGTGCACACACCAAGTGGGCAGTTTATCGGGTACATCTACCTAACAGAGAGTCGGTCTGCCCTTTCCCTCAGAAAGACCTAAATTCGTCAGGACTCAACAAGGTGTTGAAAGTGTGTAACAGGGATGCTGGCCCTTGTCGACTCCAATGTGTCCCATAATTGTTGCAAATTTGCTGATGGTTATTTTTCTACTCTGAATAGCTTGTTCCATCTCATTCCACAGATGCGCAAATGGATTGAGATCTGGTGATTGGGGAGGCCACAGCATTAAGCTGAATTCCCTGTCATATTCCTGGAACAATTCCAGGATTCTCCTGGCCTTGTGGCATGGAGCATCATCCTGCTAAAAAATGCCCATTCGCAGATGAATACTGCTGCCATGGGGCGATGCACCTGATTGGCAATGATGTTCAGATATCTTGTGGCATTGAAACACTACTCTACTCGTACCCGGCAGGATGGATTCATGTGTTTTTCGCTATATCCCGGTCCTCCCATTAGCGAGAAAAAGCAGGAACTGGGATTTATTTGACGAGGCAATGTTTTTCCAATCCACCTGTGTCCAGTGTGTGTGTTCCTTAGCCCACTGCACCAACACCATTTTGTTTATTCTCCGACAGGAGTGGAACTCGGTTGAGCTGTAGGCTGCCATATCCTATTCGTGACTAGGTACAATGAGTTGTGTTCTGTGTGTACACCACTGTTGAACTCAGCTGTAGTAGAATGACTGTAGCCCGTCTATTATACAGCACAAGTTGTATCGGCCCCCATCGGCCGCTTTCATTACCAGTCTGTTTCCGACCACAGAACCAACATTGGCTGGATGTTATTTGGGTGGTGGCCTATTCTCAATACATCTGTGACACTGTCGTACATAATAACCCTAACAAGGTTGCAGGTCCTGATATATACTCTTGCCAGCACATCTGGCGCCCATACTACACTGCGTTCAATTTTACTCAAATGTTTTGTCTTTTCCGTTCTCTCTCTGAACTACACACACGATTCACAGGTACCTGCCTACCTACTTTAAATAGCATTGGCAGCCCATAACGTATGATGGTGTAACTCACTGGGCAGTCAATTACTTAGGAAAGGCAGATGAACCCAATAAACTGGCCACCCACTGTATCTGCCAACATCCTGAAGAGAGGTGTTTAACATCTTCAAACAGCAAAATAACCATGAGGAAATAAACATTTTAAACTCATTATTCACACAGTAATACAACAAGGAAAAAAATATTCTTATTTCAACTACAGGGAAAGCATAAGCATCAAAAGAAGAAATCTTTTGAGAAGAGACTGTCCATGAAGATGCTTTCAGATAATCAGACACTGAACCTGCAAAACATCATATTGATGATGATACACATGTAACTGCTATGCACATCTATAAATATAATTCAAAATATTTTGCCACGGAGCACTGAGATGTATTCTTAAGCCCAAATAAGGAAGATTAATTTATTTAGCCTAATTATTAATCATTGACTTTTAGATTAAAATGTCAAAATGGATGCGGCTAAATTCCTCTCAGATTAAAAACATATTTTCATAGATGTTTCATTTCTTATCATGACAGTCAAGCAAGAAGACCTTTTGAATTCAATTGTTCGAGACAGACACAATGAGCCAAGCCAGAAGAAGAGGATGATTCAGTCATGTCGGAATGCGGACATCATCATTGGGTTACAGGAACTTTTTAAAGAATTTCTCACACCAAGCTGACGTTTTACTTCTGATATGGAGCCATTTTTTACTGTGATTAAAAGTAAAAAGATGAAAATGTTTAACAAGCATCTGCTATCCCTCTAAGTTTTTTTTAATAGGGCAAGAAAACTCAAATGATTATATCCAAAATTTAAAAATAATTCAGACTTCAAATTTTAAAATAATAAAAAACTGTGGCAAGTGATTCTTATATTGGTACCCTGAAAGACCTACTATACATGCCACTAAAGATAAAGGGGGAAACCTGGTATACACTTCCCTTGCTGGTAAACTTTTAATTATATAATATTAAACGACAAGTTGACCGATTTAAATCTTTTTTAACTTTTTACCTTTAACTTTTTGGACTTTCATCTGTATGTACTCCATACATGTCCCCCCTGCAAGGTCGTTGAAAATAACAAAAGGAAAATAAAAGAAAACTATGATGCCCAAGGAGCAACAGTTTTACATTAATGAAACGTAGGCTTTCAAGAGCTGGTAAAAAAAAACAATGCAATGTCTATGGTGCCTGTATTTGATGATGCTCTTTCTTAAACAGAGTATAAACACACTACTGAGATTAACAGTACATTTATATGAAACTCCTTATCAGGTAATTGTTTTGGAAACTAAGAACAAATCAATACAAGCACATACATCACAATAACAAACTGTGCTTCCCTGCCTGATGATATTTTAAACATCTTTATTTGATACAGAGAAAGGAGGCCGTGAATTTGGCACTTCCCTTTATCTTAGCAGAGCGTGCAGCAAAGTCCTATTTCAGTTGTGTTAAAAAAATCCAAACCTGAGAAATGATCCACATGGAAATAAGCAAAGAAAGAAAAGAAGATTAATACTCAGAACTTCAAGTGGATAACTGATCTTTTCTTTGTTAATAACAGTAGAATAAACCTTGCCTTAATACAGCTTAAATCAAGTCAGAACTCCACAGCTGGAACTCAGATGAGAGACAAAATCACTAATGGTTAGGACTATCTGGCAGCTCTGGTTGAGATATCCACTAAGTTATACATATTATTTTCTTAACGTGTACTATTCTCCCAAGGCAAGCTGACAGTGTATCAAAAACTCATTTTTAGTGTTCACTGGCAGATGAGGCCATTGCAAAAAATATTTTCTGAGGCTACATTTCAATACAACAATGAATTAGAGCAACAAAGAATCAGGCAGACACTTTCAATTTAATGATTACTGTATTTTATTAGGGCAGCACAATGTTTAGCAAAGCTGCCTTGCTGTGCTAGGCCCAAAGGTTTAATTCTTTGGTTGCTATCTGTGCTGCGTTTGAATGGTCTGCCTGTGTTCACATGGGCTTCCTCCAGGTGCTCTGGTTTCCTCCCACAGTCCATACTGGTAGGTTAACTGGCTTCTGAGATAACTGGCCCTGGTTTAAGTATATAAGTTTTGGCTGTTTCTACCCAGCAATGGACCAGCATCCCATCCAAGGTTAATTTAATGTTAAGTTATGGTGCAAATGTTTGCAGTACAACAAAACTGGATTGTAAATTATATTGTAGAAAAGCTTCCATTCACCAATAAAAGGTACCTTCTTCAATTCATTTTCTAAACAGTATGGATCATTGTACAAATTGGGCATGTCGCAGCAGATCAAGTTAGGAAAATGTCCTGACAAACACTTACTCTAAAGTCTGAAAAATGAAGTGGAATGCGATACACATTGCTTGAAGAATCACGCAGAAAAGTATCATTATGAATGAATAGAACTGACTATTCATTAAAAGGTCATGCAATCAGCATGAGCCCAGGTTATTGTCATTTGATTTTCTCCGTGTGGATAGAAGTGCCATCCCCAAGCTGTAAACTTTATTTTATATATTCAGAAAAAATATTAGCATATCATTAAATTCAATGATTATAAATCTTAAAGTAAAAACTCACTCTGAAAACCCATAAGAGCATTTATGCAGATTGTAGATATTTTAAGGTACTGCAGTGGTGCTTCACCATCTATTCACAGTATAAGTGCATACCACCCTCTTGTGGAACTGTTAAGAATTGTGGTTCATCTAGCTCATTTGGTTGCTATTAAACGATAAGTGTATTTCATTCAGCCAATATATATATATATTGTTATATATATAGCATTCTAGCTGTGTATAGCAAAGATTGGTGTAGTCCTTTAGTGCAGATTTGTTATTGGGAAAGAAGTGTTTTTCCCAACATCAGTAAGCAAAGAACAATACAAATTCAGAAGACCATAACAGTCTTCCAAGGACGGCTAGGAAATAAAAATAGGAAAATTTACTGTTCTTGAAAGAACAAAATTCAGCTAACTTGGTTGAGTTAAATAGCATATTGAATGACCAAACAGCTAGGGTCTCTGTTTGATACATCATCTAAAGGATGACACCCCTGCTGGATTTTGACCAAACAGAAACTTCTGCCAAAGCTGCAGTGATAAATGCCACACATTTATCATTGCTGACAGTTTAAACGGACATTTCTTAAAAATAGTCTTCGGCTTTTAAAAGATGAATGTGCACAATTAAAACAAAGTACTGCAAAGTGAATAGAAATTTGCTATTTCGGTAGAATATATTGTTATCATCTTTATACAAAAAAATGCTTAAATTAATGATGTGGATAAGAAAAAAATCTATTGTTTACTGGGAGAATCCCAGCCTCAAGATCCTCCAAGTGTCACTGACACCATGTATTAGAATTTTGCGTCACTTAGCTGTCTTACATTGGACAAATTCTCTAAATTGACAGACATGACCGAAACTATAAGTGCAAGTAAGTCAACTGGTAAGTGGAGGAAAAAAGCAAAAGATATTAAAAGCTAACACGTAACAAAAAAAGCAGTTATTGCTGTATTAGTTCTAATAAAGAGGATGAAAAAAGCCATCTACATCCCAGACATAAATGTAAGCCTTTTTAAATAAATGTAAATCCTTTAATAGGTTTAATCCACAGCAAAGCAGATGTGCTGAGCAAAGAAGCACATTCTTACCTGTCACAACCAAACCGTATATAGATTTACGGAGTAATTATATTGGAAAATAATTTTGGAAGCCAAAAACCCCTTTTTCCAGACTGCTCACAGATTTATTCCTTACTTTTCTCTTACCTGCCTTTCAGCATTTGGATTAGAGAGAAAATTTGATTAGACCTAAGGGGTTACTTCTTTTGCGGTTTTCTAGTCAATTACTGCAAACAATCAGACAAAGCTCTTTAAGGTATCCTAAATCTTTGTGGCTTAACTGCACTTTTCCACCAAAGTAAACTTGGCTGCTTTATCCAGTTCTCTTTTCAAATGCACCTGTAATTTTCCTGTAATCTCAAATCTGTCAGAATTGGTTCCCATTTGAGGCGTAGATGTTATTACAACTAAGTAAAAGAACTAAGATAACCTGCATTCTACATCAGTTCTGTCCAATTTGCCCCTGTAAAAAAAAGACACAAGCCAAAATACACATCTAAGTATCCACTAAAAGTGTCACTACTAAAAAACGTAGCTGTTTTTGACAAAATAGCCTTGGCAACTGGGTAGCAGAAAGCTTGCACATTGATTTCCACTGTACCTAAATTTTCAGGCAGCTTTCCCTTAATTATTTGGTATCTTGTCCTTTAAAAAAGCAAATTTAAAAATTACCAACTTATCAGAAACAATACCTAAAGCAAGATTTTCCTCAGTTTTCCACTTAAATGTGCAGAGTACAAATACACTTTCACTACATAATCACCATAAGTGGGAAAATATATTACCTGCCAGCATTAACATAATCTTTTCTGTGCTGCAAGAGGAAATCTTTCAGCTTGGTGATGTTGGAAATCTGAAAAAGAGACAAAAAAAAAGACCAACATTAACCAACATTCAAATATTTTTTTCTCATGACTGAGAAGACACTAATGGAATGATTTTTAAAAAGAGGAAGGTAGGAACAAAACTTGCTAGTTAAAACAGCTCTGTTCTTAAAACCTTTTCCAAAGCTCTGAATCCTCAGCTTTGCCATTTTATAAAAAAAATAAAGTAGGATTCTCTCAATTAGATAAATCACAGATGACAATAAATTACTTTATGTACTGAATATGAACATTAAACTCATTAAAACATTCACATGCTACAAAGTAATTCCAAAGATTTTAACGAGCAGGAAGAAACCTTGTACTGTTAAACAAACTCACATTGAATTAATTATGTATACCTGTAACACCTGGATATTATATCTTGCAGGTTTTTAATACTCTATAATAATTACAGATGTACAGGAATAACTTCTTCTAGATATGCAGATAAAGTAACGCTTTGCCTTCAATGCAGCTGATTAATCAGCCATACAGAAGACAAAGACAAAATACACTCCTCTAAAAATTAAAAACATTTTAAATTGAAGTACAAATTAGAAACATTTTAAATCGAAGCACCATTCTAAAGTGCTGCATGTTTCCTATTAAAACAAAAAAACAACAATGCTGCATTATTGGAAATAAAATGTGACAATGAATATGAAAAAAGATCTGAAATAAATAATAAAAAGATTAAACATGAAACTCTCTGATCAATGTAATTATAACATTGCTGCCACTATACAATAACCCTCTCTCTTATCCCTCACAAATAAAACCAGCAGTACTTCTAAATCATGTTTCTGGAACTGATATTGGAAGACTTAAAAACAGCTCGTATGCAGACTCACAATCCTGAAACAATCTCTAGATTAAAGAATGCTTCCCTATAACAATGCATTCTATATATGGACTGCAAAAAAGACGGAGAATTCTTAACGGTTACGGTGCTATTTTAAGAAATTAAATATGAACTTTTTAAAATCCATTTTTTTTAAATACTGAAACTAAGTTTATGTTGAGGAATTAAGGAAAATCTGATCCTCAAAATGCTTAAGAAAAAAAACTACAGAATTCAAGGAGAGATTATATCGTGTTTAACCTTTCAGGCAGTGTGTACTGAAAATTGGAAACTGGAACCTCTAAAGAATAAAAGCAGTTGCATCTGGATAAAAGTTAATTGTGCTTGAGCTACTTTTACAACAAATGCAGCCCCCTCTATGGTGGGTTTTCCTTGTCTTTACAAACCTTGTACAGTAGTAATTAAAATATATCTTACTTTGAGATCGCAGAGCTGTGGGTTTGACAGCAAAACACCATAAACAAAACTGATAAATGATTCAGCTTTCTTTGGACTTCCTACAAGGTCATTGATATATACTCTGTTATGTTCAGCTATAGGTATGTTTCTTCTTTTTTTTCTTATGTATTGCAATTCAGTGCAGGTAAGATGCCTGTTTTCTTTTCGGATGACTATGAAAAAATTAAAGTCATCTATCACCCTTATTGCATCAAACTTCTATATAATCAACATAGAACAGCAGTAAAAAGCTGATGATTCTTGTGATCTAACCCTATACTACAGTACCACATAAGGGAGGATCACTGATCACCGTAAAAGGGATCCTTTGTACCTACACATAATACAAAGGTATATACATAAATATGGAATAATAATATATCACATTATGTATAATAACAATAAATACAAGTGGTGGTGACATTTGCAATCTCACCACTCTTGTCTTAAGCTAATAAACATATGCACTACTAAATCCATCAATGTATGATAGTTTAAGTAAATGTACTCCAAGTTATGATTCACAATACAGCAGTACAAACACAGCATAACCTCCTGTGCACAACCTCAAAAGCACTGTAACACTCTGAAGTATCAAATAAAGACACAAGGGCCTACAGTTTGAGGAATCAAAGCCTTTAGAATACTTGCTCAAAGAAGCTTCTGCCAGCTGCTTGACTGTTGTAAGGTGAGAGTTAGCATGTAGTAAAAATGTTGGGTCAACTCCTGTGGGAGCTCACCTTCCTGTGTTGGCAGAGGGAATATAAGAGGTGCCCATGTGAATTCTCTAAAACAAGCACCCCACAAGATAAAGCCTAGCTTATCTACAGTTGAGCAGCTCAGCAACATATGCTGGCTGCAGTGATTGAAGTGAATCTGTCTGGTCTGCGAGACTGAGGAATACTCATTTCACTCCATCGATTCTTGAACGAGCACAGAAAACATTCACAGCAGATTTCAACAGAAAAGAGAAATTATGATTTATGTCCCTTTTTGGCATTTTCTACTTCTGTTCCTCATTTCACAAGGACACGTCGTTGCCAAACATAATTATGTAGTTAAATTTTATTTCCTTTATGCAGAAGGATTCATAATGTAGTGTGACTGCTGACGCATAAGTGCTGCCACATATCGCCCAATTGACTGCGGCTATGGGGTTTTCTCCTATATATAAAGCACCTTAGGATTAAAAAAGGTCTAAACAATCACAAAGAGTAATTTTTATCAAGCTTGCCTTGTTTATAAAGACATAAATCTCCCTGCATGCAAAGCTCCTTGACAGCAGCAGATGGCGCTATGTGTTCAAATGCAGACTTTCCAAAATGTCAAGTGCCTGGTGCTCTGTTGATTTGTCTCTCATGTGTATACGTTTCGGCTTAGATTCCCATTGCAGCTATGAAGGCTTTACAAAAGGTCACAGGGATCAATTGCTCTTGTAATTTAAGACCCTAAAGAGCAAGTAATACTTAAACAATGAGGTAGGGGTGGCCTTGTACTTAAAGGGTAGCTGAGACCAAGGAGACAGTCAGCCTGGCTACATCTAATCTCATCATCAGAACTCTTACCTTTTCACTTTCTGTTTTACATCAGCAAATACTACAAAAACAAAAGAAAAAAAAACATGTTAACTTATTATGAAAATTAAAAGTTGGGTTTAGCTGCAGGCTTGAACAGTAGGTGGCTGCACTTTGGCATTTTAAAAGCTAGTTTAAACACCCTGATTAAGATCACTGTAACTGTTAGTAATTAGGTTACTCAGTGACTATCACTTACTGAGCCATCTTAGCTGTTTCAAAGTGTTCCTTGTGAACATAACAAAGAGACTGTGTTAGTTTACTTCTCAGCAAAAACAGTCAAAACATAGGGGGGTTCTATTCTTAAATGTTAAATTGTACTGTACAACTGATTGTTTTAAGGCTTCATCAGTTCTCTTGATGGCATGTTTTGTCTATTTTATCTATGTAGATGCATTCACATATTCCTGGAAAATATTTTTTCTGAACATACTTCTGAAAAAAGTGATACTAATTTAATTTAAAAATAACACATTGGAAGCAGAGCCATAAAGTACTATATTCCAATGCTGAATTATAAAGTGAATTTTAATTATTTTTATTGAATTTTAAATTGAAAGTCATTGAATGTCATTTGTGTTTTTTGTTACACTTAAATTACTTTTCAAGAAGCACGAATAGGCTTTAATGACTCTTAAAATCCACAGGTGTTCCCCCTCATTTCTGGCTGGGTAGCCCACTTTGCAGGAAACCTCCAAATAGGTATATCCCTGTAACACATAAATTCTCCCTGAAACAGAATAATTATATTCAACAATACAACACAGCATATAGCATTAAAAACATAACTGGTCAACAGATTCTCTCTGTAATGTCAGAGGAGAATATGTGTGAGTGTTGATTGTACATATTGTTCGTACGGGGGGGCAAAACATTTCCCTTTGTCTCTGGGGACACCAAGACAGTGTCTTAGGGGTCCCTGAATCCAAGACTGAGAACAACCGTTCTAAAAAATAATGAAATCAGAAGTATTTGAAACTTTGTCATTAACACATTACTGAGTAATGCAGTTGTCACTTCTATTTATTAATAATGAATGTGCTTTGGTTGTTACCGATTTCAATAAATTAGTTATATTTTTGTCTGCACATTGTTCCAGTAATATCTGCCACACTTTTTAACTGATGTAATTAATCAAAAAATGTCAGTTAGTGCACTCTCTTTGCTTCTATAATGCAAATGTATACATATGTGATACGATCTTATTCATAATAAGAGACTGCTATAAATTCATAATGCAAAAAAGAAAATATATTAAACCAGGACTTATACTGCAGCTAACATATTATAGTTGCCAACTAAATGGTTTTGGTCTTCTATTGTTTACAAAGAGTAAGTTCCTAGTAACTTAGACTTTTAGAAGTTAAAATTAAAACCAAACCATTAAAATGCTGCAGGTGATATCAGGCATATCAGTGTATGCAAGTTGAAACAGGTTCCAATTCTTTTGTTTTCAAAACAATTTAATATTTTGCCTGCTGTGCTTTATGTTCTGAATAATACATTTCAAATTCATACAATTCATCAAACTGAGCTCTAATGCAAAGACAAAAACACTTCAGGCCCTTTAAACAATCAGTAATTAAGAGCAGAAAGATTATGCACATGCCATATTTTAAAGACATGTAGGAAACAGATGTCTAAAATTCTTCTTATATATATACTGTACCTAAAGCAACTGTAAGAACTGAAATTATAAAGGTCTGTCAGTTATTACAGTGGATAAGCTTTTATCAACAGTAAATAGTCTATAAAGGCTTTTCTTTTTCCAAGTAAAAAACAAGCATGCTGTGTCTCTGGAATCTTACAGAGTGGAAGAAAACATATTGAAATAGTATACTCAATTAAAAAAAGAAAAAAATGAAGCTACCAGAATCCTGCAACTAGAGATCATGTGTAAATAAAATGACCCTACAAATGGTTTCCAAAATAAGACTATTGTTTTTCTCATTGTACATGGATTTATCCAAGCATGTGGCTCAAAATATTAAAAGAAATTAGTGCTTGGTTCTTGGATTAACTAAAAGTCAAGGAAAATGTACATGGCTGCTATCGTACTCAGGTAAAGCATATGGAGATGATCATAACACAGTAGTCTGATACAGTCATTACC